CTATGCTTTGGTTGAAATTATTCTGCAAGTATAGAATAGTAAAAGTATAAAATCGATTAAAAAAAATTTAGTTAAGTTACATAAAAATGTTAATCTATATCATATTTTATTTATTTATTTATATTTCATTTTGATGATCATAGATGAATTATCATATCATTATATCAAAATTATCATTTTATTATTGTACACTTAATTTTTTTATCATCCTTTGAAATGAAGCATTAATTATTAATTTAAACCTTAAAATTTGACGTCTTAAAAAGAAGATATCAAAAAGCATATGATCATTGGCAACGTACATATATCTAAGCATCCAAATTATCCCAAGACCGTTGAAGTGGTAAAAGAAAAAAAATTTAATTTGGTCTGAAGTACAAATTTTTAGGCAAAGAAAATGTTACTGATTCTAATTATTAGTGACATAGTTATGATTATTACAGCGACCAAAATTTATGACCGTTAAAAGAATACGTTGGAATAGTTGTTTGGCGGTGGTTGGGAAGTGAAAGGGCGCCAAAGATAACGATAGTTCCACGTGTCTGACGGATTTTTTATGGCCTTGATTTTGATTGGTTGGCGGGTGATGAACAACAAAGATCAAATCAATGGGTTTAACGCCTGTTTTGTGGGGTCCATTTCTTCCGTGTTATAACATGTTTTAAGCGTCGGTGCACGTGCCGCGGGTGACTTTTTTCGTCTTTTCCAGAATTGCAGGTTAAAAAATAAATAAACAAAAAATTCATGCGGAACGGCGTTATTGACCGTTAGTTGTTCCCTCCATTTTTTATTTTTTATTTGTTGAGAGTGTTAATAATATATTAATATATATAAATTATTTAAATTTAATTTAAATTAATTATTATTTAATAAAATTTAAGTTTAAATAATTTGATTTATTGAATGAATTGATTTTAAGTATTTTAATATTTAATTCAAATAAATCTTTATTTAAAATTTAAAATTTTAAAATATTTTTAATATTTTAATTAAAAAATTATTAATTTACTTTTATATATATTAATTTGAGTTTAATTTTAAATTTGAATACACAATTAAATTTAATAATTAAATATATTTTTATTTAATAATTTTAATTAAATAAATTTGACTAATTTAATTATTATTTTAAATTAAATTTAAATTTAAAAATTAAAGTTTAATCAAACTCAAATTAAATTAAAAAAAATTTTAACTTGAATTTCTATTGAATAGACTCGATTTGATTATACTCTACCGTCAACTTTCGAGGGTCCAGATCCTTTTTCCGTTAACGTCGGTGGGAGCGATTCTGTTGTAACGAGTTGTCGGTTTTGCCCCTTCTGATTCTCGGCATGGAATATTCGTACGAGGTATTGAAATGGAATTGTCTGCGGTGAAATTAGTTGCGATTCGTACGAGTGAGTAACCTTTTCCTTTTTCTTTTTGGCTTTTTTTTTGGGGAGTCATTGGTGCATGTGCCCCCTTAAATTAAGGGTAAGGGGACCGAGATTAGGGAGGATCTATGCCGGATGGGCGTCGCATATTTGCCTCCACCTGCTTCCATGTGGGACCTTTTGACTTTGTACTGGACTTGTCCTTTTTTACTTTGCAAAGGAAAAGGATAAACAAAGAAAGGGGAAGGATGTTTCTATAGATGTTTTTGCTGAATAGGAAAAAAAAAATGAAATTCAAACATCACATCAAAATAATCAAATGAATAATTAATTAATAAATAGATTTTTTTAGTTTTATTATTTTTGTCTAAAATGCATTAAAATTTTTTAAATAAGTTTTATGAAAATTTAACTCAAATTAATACAAATTAAAATACTTTTAGTCATCGATTGCACTAACTAATCCTCTTGTAATTTAATTTTATTTTCGATCGTATTAAAACATAATGTTGAAAATGATTTACTTAAATGGTTTTAATGAATTACTTAAAGTACTAACACATTCTTCCTCTCAAAGTAATTTAGCTTTTGAATTAGGTTGATTGGCCAATCCCCGTCCTTGAAAACATAAGTAGTACAAATGGTTTTCTTCCCAACCCAAAGTTAACGTTCAAGCTAATTAGATAACACAAAAAAAATCAATTCAAAAAGAAATGGGTCAAAAAGCCTAAAACAATGGAAAATTTTGCATTACCCCACTAATCTCCCCACCATGTTAGTGTTAAACAAAAGAGAATTCACATATTTGGTCAAGTAATTAATTTGTATATTTAGAAAATTATTTTTATCTTCCATGTGGTTAAGATGAGAATGAATATGGGAACAACACATAAAATAAGTAAATTTTGTCAATATGGTAATGATTAATAAGCACATGAACCCTAATACCACTAAAGTCAAATTTGTCAATATCGATTGATTTTAGATTTAACAATTTATATATTTATGTAATATAAAATAATAATAATTTATATATTTATATCGTATTTTATATAATTATATGTTACAATTTATATTGACATCAAAATATAAAATGTATTTTTTTATTAAAATTTATTTATATCTTTTGTTAAAATTTTAAACAATATCATTTTCATATTTTTTGTTTATATAATTTTCGTATCGTGTCATCGTATCGAATTTTATCAATATTTGTTAATTTTTTTCTTAAATTATTCTTTAAACTTTGAACTCTTTTTGTTAAAAAAAAATTAACAATAACGTGATCCAAAATTTTTGATTCCATAGGGTTGTTGTTGCATGACTATGCAAACCCAATTCCTTCACATCCAAGATTTACTCATTTTGGTGGTCACTTTTGGAGCACATCACATGACAGAGTCTTCTTCTTTCCACATACTAGAGGTTGTAGCTTTATTCATTTCTTTTTGGGGGTTCCATGGACCATTATCTCACCTCTCTACACTTTTTCCCTTCATGGCTTCATCTCTCTTTTTAAAGTAGATTGGATTCCTTTTCTCCTCTTGCACTTTTTTATTTTTTTTATATCAATTTTGGTGGGCCATTACTCATCAAATTCTTTAACGGTAAAAACCGTTCGTACAATGTGCAACTGGCGCCAATGAATCACTGAGTATAGCTTTTGGTCATTTTTTTTGTAGTTATTTATAGTAGAAAACTTGAAGCTTTAATTAGTTTAGTCACTGATCAAAAAATTCTAAAATCATTTGAGTTTATTTTCTAATATACAGCTTTTATAAAATACGATACATCTTACTTTTATTTAAAATATTAGATAATTTCTTTATTTGAGTTTTTTTGAGATAAAAAATTTTAAATTATAATATTAATTATTGTATTCTTATTGAATTTGAAATAAGTTAAAGTTTTTTTTTTGAGCATATAAATCTCATATAAATAATTTATTGACAAAAAAAGTTCGCTTTGCCAATTTAATGGTGGCATGTTAATTTTGTTAGAATTTATATTTAAATTTTAAAATTTGAAAAGTAAAATATTAAATTTTAATTTTGATCTAAGTACAAAGATTTATTTCATAATTAGAATGGCTCCAATCAAGGCATGGGCTATGCAGTCTTGAGTTGGGAATTCTAAATCAAAACCTCTTAGAAGACAGTGTAAGGTAGGTTCAATGTTTGAATAAAGAATTTAAAAGTTTCATTACTTCTTTCTTGTTAAAAAGGAATAACATTGCGCTTTATTCAGCTTCTTTTAAGACCAATAATACAGGGTGAGTCTCAGTCCCTTGAATTCCTTTGAATTCAAGGGAGCTAAAACCATGGCATCATTCTTGGTCCTGGTCCCTTCCTACTTATAGATTCTGCTCATACATTTGAAATTGTGAAAACTCGCATTTAACATATTAGATATTATCTATTTTAATATAAAAATCTCATGATTTTATTTCATAAATTTAAATTTAAATTTATATATCGTAATAAATTTTTAAAATATTTCGGTATAAAATTGAGGTATCACAAACTTAGATTGAAAGCATTGCTTACAAATGCAAGAATGTTTGCTTTTCTGCCTAGAATGTTACTAGGACCAATGGGTTCCACTTAATTGGTCAAACAGACCCTTGAAAGAGAATTTTGTTCTGTAATTGCTGTTTTAAAGGTTAACGTGGAAAAACGCGAGTATTTAACTATTAAGCCACTAATAACTCCCACAAACACCACGCTTAGAAGCCCAAAAGAACAAAGCATAAAGCAATATAATTTTGTTTCGTATCAAGGCTGCGTCTGTTTTTCTTCCCATGAGCACACAGCATCAAGCATAAAACAGTTACTTCTATAGTTTACGGGAAGCAATAATGGGTTGATGCTTGGGTGCCTTGTTTTGGTCACCTAAAGGTGCATGGATAACGTAACCATTGTCTTCCACTTGAGCATTTGGTTCATGTATTTCTTTGAAAACAAGTTCGAATCCCCTTAACAGAGGCCCTGGCCCATAAAAAAATCCTAATAACTCAAGCCCACGAGCATAAACCATGATGAAGCAAAACAAAGTCGGATTTGGATTGACAGCCCATTGAAAATCCCATCGGGCTGTGTTTCCGGGTCTGATATCTCAAGACCGGGTTTTACCCTTTCGGCCTTTTTTACCTGGCATATAATCACTATTATTTTATATTTAGAGATGTAAACGATGGATCAGCATTAATAAGCTGTATGGGTTTTAACAGGATAAAATTCAAATATAATTTGATTATTATTGAGTTGATAATTTAATTTATTAAATATTTTAAATTTAAATTTTTTAATATCTGATTTAAACAGTTAACGAATTTAATCAAAATTTTATATATTTAAATATATATTTTTATTATTTTAATTAAAAAATTATTATATATATATATGGATTGAAATTCAAATGTAAATTTAAATATAAATAAGAATTTAAAATTTAGCATAAAAATTAAATTTATTTTTTATTAAATAAATAATTTTAATTTTTATGCTAAATGGGGCTCCAACTTAAAATTTAAAATTTGATGAGTTGAAGCTGAATTTCTAATGGTAAATTTTGAGTGGAGATCGAACTTAAACTTCTTACACGCCAAATAGAATTGCCAACAGCCACCTTTCCCACCAAGAAATTACCGTCCTATTTTTAACATATCAACAGGAAAAAAAGAAACTCAAATTCTGATAACGTCCAGTTCATTAAACATTGCGAAAGCCAATGCTTTTCAAGCCAAAATCAACTCCAATCTACCTTGCTCGGATAATTTTCCTCCAAAACTCTCAACGAAATCTCAGCACAAAATCCAGTCATTATTCTCGCAAAAATATTGATGATGATGATAAAGACCAGAAAACTCGAGACACAAAAGAAGATCAACAAGACCATTTATATTTGTATAAGAGCAAGGGCCAACATCTCCTCACCAACACACGGATTCTCGACGCTATTGTTCGAAGATCTAACATAAGACCTACCGACACCGTCTTAGAGATCGGACCCGGGACTGGAAATCTCACGGTCAAGCTCCTTGAAGCTGCTAAAAAGGTTGTTGCCATCGAAATTGATAAAAGAATGGTGGATATTCTCCACAAACGCGTTTCTGAGAAAGGGTTGCAAGATAGGATCCATGTGAGTTTTGCAAAAAAATTACATGTTTGATGAAATGCCTAAGAGAAAGTTCCAAGCTTGTTTATTATTCTATATAAAAGTAAAATCTTGCATTTTATTTTCTAAAACATCACGTTTCTCTTTTTGCTTGCAGGTTATATGTAAAGATGCAATGAAGGCGGAGTTTCCTCAATTTGATCTTGTTGTTGCTAACATTCCGTACGGAATATCTTCCCCTCTTGTGGCAAAATTGGTTTATGGAGGGAACCCTTTTAGGAGTGCAACATTGCTTCTTCAAAAGGAGTTTGCACGTCGGTTACTGGCTAAGCCTGGGGACTCGGAGTTTAACAGATTGGCTGTGAATGTGAAGTTGGTGGCTGATGTAGAATTTGTCATGGATGTAAGCAAAAGGGAGTTTCTTCCTTGTCCAAAAGTTGATTCCTCTGTTGTTATAATCCGACCAAAAGCTGAAGTCCCAGATGTTAATCTAGACGAGTGGTGGGCTTTCACAAGGACTTGTTTTAGCAAGAAGAATAAGACGCTAGGGGCTACGTTTAAGCAGAAGAAGAAGGTGATAGAGCTGTTGAGATTGGCCAAGACAACGAGCACAAATAGAGAAAATACTATAATTGGCAAGAATCATGAATGTGGTGATGATTATGATGGTAGCCATGAAGAAGAAGATACCGATGGAGATGTTGGTTTTGCATCATCTTGCTCTGTTGTGGAAATGACTTTGTTCAAAGAGAATATTGTTGGGATTTTAAAAACAGGTGGGTTCGAAGACAAGAGGCCTTCAAAGCTGTCTAATGAGGAGTTGTTACATTTACTTTCCTTGTTTAATCAAGCTGGGATATATTTTCACGACCACGTAAATCCCAAAGATTCAGATAATGTTTCTTTTGCTGCTGCTTATAGTTCATAGTAGCTCCATCCTTCTTCGGTAGTACTTTCTTTGTGAATTGTGATACTGTTGTTTTCATCCTTCTTCACTATAAAATTGGGTTCTTTAAGCAAAACATAGGGTCCAAAATTGGGTTGTGTTAGTAAATCAAGTGGGCTTTTGGTTAATGGTGGTAATGGATGGGTTTTTCTCGTGACTCAAACCTGATTTCATAGAATATGTACCAACTTTGACTTCATAAAATATATATTTGACTTTGATGTGATCTTAAATTAAAATATTATTTTTTATGTTTGATTTAATTTATATATATATATAAAATTATAATCGATTTAATTAAATAAAAAATTAATTTAATAATTTAAATTTAATTGTTATAGATATCAAATTAAATCGAAATGTTTTTACCTAAAATCCGACTCCAATCCCATCTTGACCACGAGAGGAAAAAAAATCCAATCTTAGACCCGATAAGTTCGGGTATATTTGCCATCCTCCTGAGCTTTGGTTGGAAAGTTTTAAGGCTCTTAAATTAGGGAATGGAAAAGGCCCAATTGTCCCAAAAATATTTGGGATTAAAGGCCCATTTTGCCATTCGTTTCTTCTTAGCCAACCCTTTCTTTTCATTCTGGTTTGAGGTTTCACTCTGCTCAAACAAAAAGAAAAGTAGTAACTAATAGCCAGCAACCAAATCAAGGCTTTCGTTTTGATTTGATAAGAAAAAAGGATTTTGATTTGATACTCACTTTAAACCTGCAAACGTAACCCTTTAATGTTCTAAAAAAATGGGATTTGGGGCTCTTAGAACTATCGTTCGACCGCTATGTCGCACTCTCCTATCCCGGGCCTCCCCTGCTTCCGCAACTACTTCGAGTCTGTCCTCTTCCTCGTGCCCAAAACCCGGTTTCAACTCCTTCTTGGGTGGGTCAATTTACCGCCAATCTCCATGGATCTCGATATCCAGTCAGTTGCATAGCTTAACGGATACTCGTTACCCAAAGAGAAGGCCCCAAGACAAGCCACGTCGGAAAAGAGCCAGCTTGAAACCCCCAGGTACCTCCTTTAGTAAACCCCTCTTAAACCCTTTTTCCAATTTTAATTAATTTATCTTTTTCAGGTTTTTTGTTCATTTTTCTGCGTTTTAGAAGCCCTTTTTTCTTTTTTCAAAGATGCTAATTTTGTTGAATAAAACAAAGTTATTGATGAAACAACGGAGGAAATGCTAATAGATTTGAGAATGCAGGGCCGTATGCATGGGTAAAGTATACACCAGGGGAGCCAATTCTTCCAAATAACCCGAATGATGGGAGTGTCAAAAGAAGGAACGAGAAAAAGAGAATGAGGCTGCGTCGTGCATTTAAGTTGGTTCGTTTTCGATCTACATTGAAAAAGTTTTGTTGCTTTCAGATTTGTATAGCAATTATCTAGTTTGAAATATGTTTAATTTTTATCGAGTTATGTTAATGGTGAGGAAGGAAATGCCTTTTGTTTTAGTTATATTCATTAGCAACCATTTTGTCTTTAATTAAAGATGCATCGAAATATAAAGCTGATTTAAAGTGAATGGTTGGATTTTGAAGCTAAAATCAACATAACTGGTTACCTTGTTGAATACATTTAGAAGAAGTTGTTAAGGCATATATGTGAGTAATGTTTTTAGTAAGTTATCTTTTAGTTAGCCAATAGGGATTTTGGGATGTTAAATGAGGCAGGTTCATTTTTACCATAGAGCATGTCCTATTGTCGGAGTCATCAGGAGAAGGTTCTCCTTAATACTTTCTATAGATTTTATCATAGCCTGAGGTAAACGTTCCAGCTTATCCTGAATTATGTGTATAGATGAACCAATTTATCTGTGAACTGATGTCACTGTCCTATTCTTTTCTTCATTTCATGTAAAAATCAGCATTTGATTGTGACTACTTTATTGAAATCCGTCTTTGGTTGGCAATTCATATTATGCCTCTATCATTGGTTCCTGGGGCAGTGTGAATTGTGCATGGCGTCACAATTCATAAAACATGAAATGTGATGCACTTTTGGCTCATAATTGTTGTTATTATATCGGGAAGTAATATTAGGGGTTGCAGGAGGTCATCTCTAAATGCATTATTTGTAGCTTCGGAGATATCGATTTAGATAAAACCATAGTTCTATTGTTAAGAATGTACTCTCTGTCACAAAAGAAAACATAAAAAAGGGACAACTAATATGAGTTGGTGGTTATAAGTGGCTTTCCTTTTTACGCTATTCACTTCTGAAACCATGGCTATCTTATTGTTGCTGTGGAACTTTTGTAATATCTTTAACATTTTCTCAGGATTGGTCTTCTAACTGGTTACCTCTTGTAATGTCTAGCTGTGTATGCTGTGCTTGCCAGCATCGCACTATTTGGTCTCAGTTCTTATTATTACTATTATTACAACAGGATTTTAGACTCAGTTTTTAAGTGAAATATCTACATGCAGGTGCTTTCATGCATCGCTTATGGTACACTTTTAACTGGCTTAGGCTTTCTTGTTTGTCAGATTTTCTTAGAGTTTCACATATTTTTGGTTGGTAAATCATACAATTGCTTTGCGTATTCTTATATTTGGATGCACCAATGAATCATCTCTGTAGTTTACATTTTCTTTTTCTATAGTCCATTTCTGCTTGTCTCCTGAGTAGGTTGGCTATTTCTTAATATCTACATATTTGGTTCTGGGGAAAATGCTTATGTCTTACAGTGGGGTTCTGCAGGCAGAGGCAAAGAAGAGGAAAGCTCAGTTGCAGGAGGCTAAAAGGAAGAAGGAGATTAAGCAAGTAGAGCGAAAGATGGCTGCAGTGGCAAGGGAAAGAGCATGGGCCGAAAGGCTGGTGGAGTTGCAGCGGCTCGAGGAAGAGAAGAAAAAGGCCATGACTTGAAGCATTGCTTGCTCGTAGACTTAGTCTTCTGATGCTACGCTGCTTTTGAGACATCAAACCAACTTTCTATAAGCCTCTTGTTTGTTTTTCCTTCCTAATGTTTGGTTAAGCCAGCCGGTACCCAACTTAATGGCATTTGGAGATCTGATATTGTTGGAAATTTGTTTTGTGTGCAGGATTAGGAACACATAAGATGTTGCGAAGTTCCATGTGGCTTTTACAAACCATGAGCTTGATTCTTTTCCCCTTTTCCATCTGTTATTTGAGTCCTTTTGAGGACTTATTATTGAACTGTTAAAAAAGGATATGAAATAAGTTAGAATTAAAATTTATTTTATGACGATGCTTGTGATGTCTGATTGAAAGAATGGCCTAACAAAAAGTCATAGAAAAGGGAGAAAGTTTCTTTTAAAATAATTGCTTCTGCATGTGTAAAATGAGATCAGTGAACTCCTGCACACTACAAAGTAGAAACACTCCTGTAAAGCAGCAGGACTAAAATAGTATTGAAGAGATGGCACAAATGGAAGCAAATACATGTGAAAGCTACTCCTATACCTTGCGGTCGGATTCAGTAAAAAGTTGACGGCTGCTTTCATGAATTTAACGTGCCTGCCTGCCTGCTTGCGGAATCATGTATCTTTCCCTCAAGTGACTGATCTGGTCTGGTGTTGTCAATATCAGTACGTGTTTTATTCGAGACAGCAACTACTCAATTTTGGATCAGTTAGACGAATATTCTTCAATCAATAAGCCCTCTTTTCTTAGCCTTTAAATCTTCTAAGCTGCTTTGTTTTTTACCGAAACAAAGAACGAAAGAAATTTGCTACAACTAATTTTCATGGCTAGACTTTCAATCTAATTCATTTTTGCTCTTTTATTGCTGTTAATCTAGAAGTCAATACCCTGCTTTGCTTTGCTGGCATTCTCCAGTAATTTGCCATGGAAGATAATTGCTCTATAATAACATGGCTCCGACTACGCAGTACTATCATTGAAGGAGGCAGTGAAACATGGATTTTGTACCATCACAAATGTTATTATCAACTCAAACCAAAAAAAAAAAAAAAATCGATTGCAGCTTTAGACATGAGAGTTAGATTTTATCATCCCTAGTTGCATTCAATATTGAAGGACCCAAAAAGGGCCCAAGGACTTCTGCTGCTTTGAAAATAGATGGTGCCATGAGAACTAACACCATAATACACAGTCCCATTTGAATTCTTAAAGATCATTGCAGCTGTACAAATTCCATTCCTAATGGCTCCCTTTTGTTGTGGGGATAAACTTCCAAAATTTCTGTCCTAATCCAATTGAGATTTAAAATATATAATATATATATATATATTAGATATTTTTGTACAGGCTTTCCTGGATGCGCCAAACTACTGGTAGTTGCATAAGAGGGGTGACGTTGATTGGCAGCTTCCTCTTCATCTTAACTGTTGGAAAGTAGATAATGTCATCCTCTTGAGCAACCCACCTGCATATAGGAGAAGAAAAAAAAGAGTTGTTCTGAGTTTTGTTAGACTGTAAGAGATAGCAAATCTGGATGGATTGGTGGGCTTCCGATGACACCGATCTACCAGGGCATGGTAGCTAAATATCAATTATTTTGCTTCTGTTGGTTCATGTCATTAATGAGCTGTTGAATGTACATTCCAAGGCCTTTCACCATTGGGGTGCCCCATGCTTCACTGGATTGAATTATAGCAGCAGAAGAAGTAGAATTCTATGATTTATAAATTACCTGTAACTGGTGATGAGATGGTGAAGAAAGATTGATATTTCAAGCCTTGATAGTTCTAAACCAGGGCACAGCCTCTGCCCACCTCCAAATGGTGTAAAGCTATTGTTGTTAACAGCAGCTCCAAGTTTCTGTAAACCAACAAATCCTGAAATGGTGCAATTACCAAGAAAAAATAAAAAAAGAAGTGACATTGTTTGATTTACCTCCCATCTCCATGGATCAAATTGATATGGGTTTTCATAATTTTCTTCATCCATATGAACAGAAATGAAAGATGCCAGAACGCACCATCCCTTTGGTATTAAGAAACCTGCAAAAACAACCATAAAAACGGTTTTGTCAAATGAAGTGTGTTTTTCCCTATTTCTTCAGAATCAAAGCTCAAAGCAATACTATAATGAAACTGCCTTTAATATCTATTTCCTTGAGTGCTTTCCTCCAAACTCCATTGATGATATTTGCCAGTCTAAGAGTTTCATTTATCACCTAGCAAAGAAAAAAAAATTGATGTCAATGCTTTTTTTTTTTTTTTTTTTTTTCTGTAAAGAGAAACTTTTACAGCATCTTCTCTGAAATTTGAGACTCACATTTTGAGTGAAAGGCAAAGACAAGTAGTCGGTCCAACTACAGTCTTCGGCAGAATTAGTCTTTTGCTTCTTCAATTCCATGTTCTCTTCCTGCACAAATCAACATCAGTTGCATAAAAATCTCCTTTTTTTTTCTCTTCAAAAAGAAAAATTATAAAAATTTGCTTTTCCATGAGAGAAGCCAAAACTAACGCCATTGGATATCACTTTTCCTTTATTGTTTCTTCAAGAAGGAAAATGGGTAGTAAAGACTTCAGAACTGTCATGTATCTTTAGTTCTTTACAACAATAAATTCTTCCCCTTGAATTTCTTCTTCATGCACCATCTCCAGACAGATCTTAACACGAAAACCAAAACAAGCTTAAAACATTTTTTTTGTGCTCTACTTCTTGTTCACAGCCAGGCAACACAGTTCAATACATGAATTCCCAGTTAAGTTCTATCTGTTATGTCTTTTGATTCTCATCAGACCATGCAGAAACTTGTAACCAATTCTCTGGGTATCACTTTCTACATTGTTGCCAAAGAGTAGTCGGTAAGACGAACTATTTGTAAAATTTTATCAACGATCAAAGTTCAGTTTCTCAATCAGGATCCCAAGAACAAATGGTAACGTGAACAGAATCTGGGGCCCACCACACGTAAAATGTGTCTTACATGTACATGTACTCGTGTGTCTAATAAACTATGAAAGAGACTTTTCCTTTTCCAATGAAAAAACTAATAAAAACAAAAGTCAAACAGTTGGCTTTGGGACCCCGTTTTGCAGGTGAAATCAAATTAATCCTAGCCGTTGGATGAAAAATGGTGAGAGCCTTTTCATTTGTTTTTTTGGGCTATGTTACGTACCATCAACTGGTGGCGGGCAAGGGGGCAGTCACTGAGGAATTTGACAGCGAGAGTCATTGCCATGGGAACCGTCTCTTCTCCAGGGATCATCATCTCTATTACGATCCCACTGATGAAATCCAACGGCAGAGATTGCTTCTCGTTTGATTCTTCGCTGTCACGTAACAACACGTCCACTGCATCAATGGGATTACTCTTTTCGTCTGTTTTCTCCATACCCAATTTTCTCTCCTCCACAATCTTTTTCACCATTGTCAGTAACCTTTCTCTGGCCTGCAAACGAATAAATCAAACCTTGTAGAAACAAACCCTCCAGAAATGGTTAACGAAGAGTAGATAAATGCTAGTATATATAACATATTCTCACCTTCAGAGATTTATAAAGTCTTGTTCCTGGAAATTTGATAGGCAAGCAAATTAAACCTTTGATGAATTCTTCAAATTCTCTCTTCAGAAAGTTCAAATCTTCACCAGGACCAACACTCATTAAAACTTTTACCAAGACTTCGAACGTAATCTGACATGTCCATGAACCAGCCATCAGGGTCACATTGTATATCAGTATTTGGAATTAACTTTTGTTATACTATTTGTGAATTGACCTTTTTGGTTTCTTCTTGAACATGTATCAGCTGCATGTGTTGCCAAGAACCCAAAATAAGTTTGACAGAGTTTTCAATATGTCTTGTAATACGGGTTTTAAGCCGTGGGGATCTCAAGAAACCTCCAATAAGTGCATGAACTCTCTTCTGAAGATCACCATTCATTTGAAGTATGGAATGTTGGCCAAGTAACTCTCGGATAGATTTGGGATAAGCAGGAATAAAGATGTTGCCATGGTTCCGTAAAACCACCTTGTTCACGTCGGGATCTGTGGAAACAATGATGGGTGTCCCCAAGACGTGTGTTTTGAAGACCTTCCCATGTCTGGAAAGAGACCGAGAAATTAAAACAATATATCAACAAAGGTAGCAAAGGTTTTTTTTTTTTTTTTTTTGCTTTATTGCTTGCAGGGCAGTTGAAAGACTTATTTTTTTGCTTTGTTTTGTTGTTTAACTTCATTTATTGAAGTCCAGAATCCATAGCAGAGAGGAAGATATGGGTACAAAATTGGAAGGAAATGGTGGTTTCATTGGAAAGCTGAAAACAACGGAGACTAGGGGCTGGTGTTACTGCCTGCAACAAGCAAACAATGGCAAAAGCTTTAATTGCTTTCACTACTACTTTTTAACCGATGTCACCTCTTATTTTGAAGCAAGAGAGGCACTTGCAGTAGCTATCTGTCATAGCCCATTAATGAAGAATTTCTTTTTGGGACATATTACCATTTAATGAATACAAGTTATAGGCAAACAATATTGTAGTATGTGATGTTTCATTTATTTAATTGCCTGAACTAGTTATATATTTTAAAGTAATTGTCTGACTATAAGGAGAATTGCGTCCTAGTCTCATTGAGGCCACGTTCCCAATGTCTACGCAAATGATGCGAGATAAAGTGTTCAGTTCAACTAAAGCTTAAATATATTTCGTCAGTAGTTGGTTTAATTAATTAAAATTATTTTTTTAATAAAAAGATTTTAAATTTGAGTCTTACTAATGATTTATTGTTGAAATTATTTTAAATATATGATTTATAACAACTTATTTTAAGTTATTAGATATAATATATTTTATTTGAAAACTAAATAATCTATTTATCCCAAACTTTTTTATACCAAATATATATATATATGTTGACGAGTATGGTCATATGTTATTACAAATAAATTAAATAGTCAAGAGAAAAGGAAATTATCAACTTAGTCATGTAACTCAATGGCATCCTTTAGAGGAAGATATCAATAAAGGGTAACTTTTTCTTTTCCATGGACTATGTAAATATAGAAAGCTACTATTTAGTGCTAATTGCAAAACTCATAATAATTACGAGTTGTCACATGTTTACAAATAATATATAATAATTAGATTTTTTTTCCATTGATCAATAAAAATATCAAAAGTTTAATTTCATTTTCTACTAAAATTTGAATATTAAGTTAAAACAAAATCAAACTTTCACTTGTTATCCACATGTTTATGTTATAGTTTGGCATTGTTTGTTACATGATTTGATAGATAAAAGTCCTCTAGCATAAGAACTTCTTTAATAATAATAATAATAATAATAATAATAATAGAATTTATATATATATATATAATATATTTTGAGTATATAAATTTTATATACTGTCAATGAATCAAATGATGATAATTCATTAATGAGTAAATATTAATCTTTAAAATAAATGTACATAAATTAAAATAATTTATTTATTAATGATATTATTATTAGATTCATCTTATTAATGAATTATTATTGTCTAATTCACTGACAATATATAAAATTTATACACTAACAAAAATATCAAATATAAACTCATAATAATAATAATATTAATTAATTAATTAATAATGCCATGCATGTTATTTAATTACAAAATTTTGGAACAATTAAAACTTTTTAGGCTGTATGATTAGCAATATATTTTATATAAAATAATAAGAATATTGATGATAATTTTCCTTTATTGAAACCACAAAATAGCAAAAATATATAATGATGATGACATGATGATGGTGGAGTAATGAGTTCTAAATCTAGCTAGGGTTTCTATCATCCCAGAGAAAGTAAGTTTCCAAACAAATAATAATATTAGTATTTAGTATTAAAATTGAAAAAAAGAAAGAAAAATATTCATATATGTTGACATCAAAATTAAAAGCAAGTGGGTAAGAAGAAAACAACCCCAATTAAAAGCAAAACATGAGCATGGTGGGTTAGAGAAAAAGTTTACAGAAATTTGCGTTTGTCCATGAAACTGACAGGTCGAGAGGTGTAACCACAAGCAATGAAGTCGAGAGTTTCTCCTATGAAAGGCCAACCCAAGTTCCCTTTTGGAACTCCACTCTTCATCACCATCATTGTCTTCTTCTTCTTCTTCTTGTACCAAAACCATCCTACAAAAGTACCCATCAACACGCTCAACAATAACCCTATTCCCCATTCCATCTTTCACTAGAACGATCAGCTTCTTCTCTGAAATGAAACCCTAGTTCTAGCTAAAAATAAGCTGCAAAGGTTTTTTTTTTTTTTTTTACAGTGTTCACCTAGTCACTCCTTTAGACTAGTTATTCATCCAGCTCTTTGCACTGTTCTGAAAATAAAGTAGAAGAAAGGAGAAGAGAGAGAGAAATAATACTTGTCCTTGTAAAGGGTATTGAATGAGAGGAGGTGATGGCTATCTTAGTGATAGATTCGGGAAATCTAGAGGTTGCACCTATATATTACTAAATGAGTTTGGCCATATTGGGCGCACCAAATGCTCCACGCTTGTTCATTTTGTCTTCTCTTCATTTAGATAGAGATGTGCCCGTCCCTCCTGCTTTGGCTCACATAATAGAGGAAAATGAGTGGGGTAGGATTAAAGGGGTTGTTGTTCTCCCTCTCTGATAAATTAATGTTCCTGTTTGGTTTTTAAAATCTTTTGAAGTAAATACAGTTCATCTTAACAAATTATGTGAAACTCTAACCTGGATACAAATCATATCTCCTTTATGTTTTCAGCAGTGACGAGGGAATGAATCCAAGTTTGGTTGACACTTGTTACCCAACGTGTTAAAAAGTTAAGAGAAAGTTAAATGAGGGAGGTGAAGTCTACTGTAGGTGTTACCTTCTCCCAAGCTTTAGAATTCGTGGGGAAAGCCCACTGGGTCAAGCTTGCGGGCGCCGAAATTGTCAGACCTTTTATTGATCATCAACTTGTCTTCATCATTCTTCAGTCTCACAGTCATCACCACCCACCCATCCACCCACTCGATCTCTTTCTCTTTTCCGTTTTCTCTCTTTTTCATGCATTTTTATAGTTTATGAGAATAACCATCTTTTGAGGTAACTGTTTAGAGTTATGACCCAAGAAGAAGTAGAAATGTTTTGTCTTGTCTTTGTCAATGGATGACTGCCAGTTGCCATAGTTGAAACTTTGAAGCAACAACAAAAAAGGTGGTTCGTTCTCCTGCATGTAAACCATGTGGGGGTTGTGCAATGGAGGCTGGCAAAAGGGGAGAACATGCGGTGTGCTTTGACCCACTTTTACTTAATTATGATGATTAGTGAAATTATTTATTATTCTTTCTCGCTACTTTACTCTCTCAATCATGAGAGCGCCATAGCTTCAGTGGAATCCTTGCTGCATTATATGTCTCAACCTGAGGGTCATTTTTCTTGTAAATGATTTTCCTGAGGTTCAGTCAGAAAAAAGTCATGCGGAGCTTTGGATTTCAATCTCGAATAGATTTATTCTTTCTTTCTCCTTTTATAAAAAGGAATTTAAAGAAAAAAAGAGGACAGTTTGCATGTCAACATCAGTTTATGATTTCTCTGTTCTCCGCCAGACGAGGTAGATAATTGTTATAGTTTTTCAGGCTTAACAAATAGCCAACCGTCCATAGTAAAGATGGTGGCGCAGTAGGGCCTAAGAATCAATTTCTACTTTCTACCATGCATAACAGCAGCCAGCAGCAACATGGAGATTGGGAACAAAAGGAAAGAGGAAAAATCGGCAGCCACAATTGCCTTTGTCCTTTCTTTATTGCATTAATTATTTACATATTCTTTGCTAAAAAAAAAAGTTATTGACATATTCTGTACCACATTCGGGAAAAAAATACAGAATAAAGCATCTCTAAGCCATTTGAAGCAGCAGCTCCAAATAGCAAATTTCAGACCCTACTTGGTATTTTCTTGGGCTTTCGTGCTCAAAGTCTTCCTTGGCCGGAGCAATCTAAGCACAACATTTACAACAAATCAATAGCTTGCAAAAACTATTAATCGCCTAGCAACAAATGTCAATTCTACAGCAAGAAGTTATTCTAGCATTACGAAATAAGAACGAAACTGCTCGTAATTTCTTGTCACAGCAGTAGAAGGCCGCTGGTTTTCAACTACTGCTACCACAGGCAACTGCTGCTTCCTCCACATTGTTGTAAAATGTGCTTAATTTAGTTATAGCAGTGCCTCTCCAAAAAGTGATGCTTTTGTGGACTTTGTTATATGAACTTCTACATAATCGCCAACGTCAGGAGTCCTTCTGTTATCCACTTGATCATCGTGATCTGGCAAAGGAAGATTAACAAATGAAACTCTATGGCCTCTATCACTTTTGCCGATAAGCTCTGTTTCTGGAGTTCTCCTGCTTGGTCCTTCAACCAGCACAAGTTGGATGGTTCACACTTGAGAGTCGTAGTGCTGACCGGTACTCCCATGGAAAGCCTCAATAAGTTCAGTATGCCTCCTTTGCTTGAATTCTTCAGGAACGTCATCAGAGTAGTTTCTATAGGCATATGTTTTCTCTCCCTCATGCTGTATGCAAACATGTATGCCATATCATAACCAACAGCCTTTATTAAGCTTAGCATGCCTGCATGTTCCTCCTCTGTTTCACCACAGAAACCTGCAGAAAGCAATCCAGAAAATAAGAGGGCATTTCAGGAAAGTGCAGGTTAACATGCTTATAAGGTGAAGATGTGTTACAGATAGCAACCCTAGCAACAGTGCATCTTTGGATCATTTAACACCAACAGCCACAGTAGACTCACTAGGCATAATTTTGCAAAAGATATGAACGAACAACGGAACAGAAAATTTTAGTTTTTCATAATAGATTGATAGGGATATTTATTACCTGCTATTCATCAGCGGTGATGTGCCCAGTATGCTCTCTACCAACCCTAGAATCTGAGGCTCTTTGTCAGAAGATTAAGCTTAAATATATTTTTAACTCCTACTTTAACAAAGCATGCTTCTAAATTAAGTATATGAACTTGGCTCACACTATCACAAAAGGTGGTAAGTCTAATTTTGCAGTCTCCTTTCACTTAATTAATAAGCAGACACCTTGACTGCAGAAGTTAATGTAGAAAAGCATTTTCCAAAAACAAAAACAGTAATTTGTATCGCAATTTGCATATTAATCTATAGAAGTATGCTCGAAACCAGTGAAGACAAAGCTGTGATACTTTGTAAAATAAATATAAGAAACTAATAAATTCTCTGTAAAAACATGCAATCCACCATACTAGGCAGCAGAAATGGAGAAAAACAAAATAATCAGGGCTCATTTTTGTAAGAGAGAGTCTTTGGTCCTCACTAAGAGCTCAGCTCAATCACCATTACACCTAATTAAAACAGTTTTAAGTTTGTTCAAAAGACCCAACATCACATATCCAAGCTGACAATGTGATCAAACATCTGGTTAATTGCAATCCTTTATGTAAAAAGCAGGGAATTGATGTGAATTTAGGCTTTAAGTAACATTCCAGGAAATTAAGATTGTAGAAAATAAACTAGAATCATTATGGAAGATTAATTCAGAAACTCAACAGGGTTATTTGCTGAGTAGTAGCTTTTAGAATAAATAATAATTGATGTCAATCCTTCATACTTAAAAGGTCAACTGCCTATGTTTCAAATACAAGTATATAACCAAAATATTAAAATCAGAATAACATAATAAAACCTTTGCCACATATGAAATCACTGCTTATTATTACGTCTGGAATGATTCTGCATCTTCTAAACAAGCTCTAAATAAGCCTCTCTATTATATTCCCGACGCATTCTTTCAAGCACTGTGGTACTCCCTATCTGTGCAGGCAAATGTATACACGTGCAGATATTATGGCGGACTCGCATCAGATACAGCAACTCATCCAGAAAACCTTTAGGATGTGGGGACGTGTATCTGAACCTCGTCTCTGGAAAATCAGCAGAAAGTCGATCTAAGAGATCAGCAAAATGCAAGCCCATAATTTTCACCTTACACATACTTCTAAAGCCTTCGCTCAACGCCCAATTATTTCCTGGTTTAACTTCTTTTTCACTTCCAATGCATCACTATAAATATTCACATTCTGTCCAAAAGTGTTACCTCCTTCACACCTTCTTTCCAAAGCTCCCCCACCCTTCACTATAGACTCCACAGGACGAGACCTCTGTCCACCTCTAGTGAGCAGAACAATACAAAACGAGCACATATTGTTACATCCCATCATGCACAGACAAAAAGCGTCTTTTTCAAGCGAAAGAAGAGTGCTAATCCCTTTCTGACCATAATCAACCGCTTCCAACAGGCAACAACCTCGGTAAATCTCCGTAAGCATCGGATCCACATACCACATCAACCATCTTATCAGCAACCAGAATCCTATCCTTAACCTGTCAGCCATACAGCCTAACACCACCACTTTCGGAGGGTGCAGCGACTGTGATCTTTCTATATGTACATTACTCTTCCAATGTCTCTTTAACACCAAAAAAATTAAGCCCTTGCTACACTTTTCGTTCAGCATTTTCCCTTATGTACATTACTCTTCCACTGTTTCATGATATCCAGCATTCTTCATAATTGAAAGCACAATTTCAATATCATTTATATTCATTTGTGATCGAAAAGTCTCGTGATAAATTCTATCTTTTGTTGAGAGGCGGTAGGGGAAGGTTGAGCTATGAAGTGATGGAGAGTGGGGTTATCTGTGTTGAGGAGGTGGTGAGATTGAGAGCAGCTTCTGGAAGCATCGAAAGCGAAGGTTTTTCTGATTGGCCTATGCGAGAAATGGCGATGAGAATTGGAATGGGAAGCAAAAGGCTTTGAAGAGAAGAATCTAAGAGTGTTAAAGCAGCACCGTCGATGGATTTTGATGCAGCAGCCAGGTTGGCTCAAAATAGAGGCCATTGGAACCACCTGGATTTGCTTCTCCGACGCAAAAATACTTGATAGTGGAAATGGAAAAGAATGGCTCGAAACGCAGCGTTTTAGTCCAAGCAGAGGGAATGGGGGGTATTATGGTCATTTGGTTAAATATATTGGTAAAGATTGCGTAACTGCAACGTTAGCGGATTTGATTGGCACAACCGGAAAAAGAAAAAAAAAATTGAAAATGGAGAAGTGGAGAGCTACAAGCAATCTCCGGCGATCATTGAAATCGGTTCTCAACCGTCGATTAAGTCCTGGTTCAGGTATCATCAGCTGCCTTCGTTTCGATTCCTTCTTTTGAACCGTTCTTTAGAAATTTTGAGTATTGTTGTAAAATTAATTTACTTAAAGATCGTTCTGTTTTTCATCAGATTTTACGTATTTCAATGAAAAGAGGAGTTTTCCGGCGCGATTCAATCCGATCAGAGATCAGAGAAGTCTCCGAGAAGCGAATGCGATTCAGTACAGATATTTCAGTTCAGTGTCGACGCTTGTTCAAAGAAATCCTTCATTTTCGACCTTAAATTCCGATGACATCAGTTACTTTAAGCGGTTACTAGGAGAGAAAAATGTTATTCAAGATGAGGATAGGCTTGAAACTGCAAATACGGATTGGATGCACAAATACAAAGGCTCCAGTAAGCTTTTGCTTCAGCCTCGAAGTACTGAGGAGGTTCACTTTTCAAAATTTCGATTGTCAAAATTTGTTATTTCTTCTGTACTAAGATTACATTTGGTGCATAGGATGATGAATAAAATAGGATAGAATAATAATCATCCTATAATATGTTTGGTTTATATCTAAAGAAAGGGATAGGATTATAAGGAAGATTAATCATCCTCTTGGTATAGGATGATTCGATCTCTTTGGGAGATAATTATTTTTAATCCATGAGATTGAACTTACATATGTTATTGTATATTTGAAAATTACAGTCATGTTTGGTGCATAGGATAATGGATAGGATACAATGCTAATCATTTTATATTATGTTTGGTTTGTATCTAAATAAAGGGATATGATTACAAGAGGATTAATTATCCTCTTGGTATAAGATGAATCAATCCTTAAAGGATTATTTTTAATCAATGGGATTAAACTTATATGTCTTATTATGCCTTTAAACATTATATCAATAATTTAAATTGTATAAACTTTGAAAAAGGATAATTTTGACCAATAAATAAATTATCTTATTCTAATACTTGCACACATCAAACAAAGGGTATGATGACATTATTTAATTTAATCTTATTTATGATATCATTTTATCCTATCCTATCATAATCTTGTTTACCAAACAAATCAGGGTCATGTTATTTATTTTTATATGCAATTTTATATTGCAGGTATCACAGATTCTTAAATATTGTAACTCAAGGTGTTTGGCTGTTGTTCCCCAAGGGGGAAATACTGGTCTTGTTGGTGGGAGTGTGCCTGTTTTTGATGAGGTAATGCCAATTATTTCCAATTATTGATCAATAATCTGTTGTGTGATACTATTTTTGGTGGATTCTTTCTTCTTGTTTTGTATTTAATTAATTGATTTTGCTGATATAAGTCTTCAGGTGATTGTCAGTGTTGGTTCAATGAATAATATCATAAGTTTTAACAAGGTATGCTTTTATGTTATTTGTCTGTTTGTTCCTTGCTTGTTCCGTTTCTTGCCAAGTATAGACACATAAGGACCTTCTTTCAATTTGAATTACGGTTGTACAGTTTGGATCTTACTTACCAGAAATTACTAGGGCCCTTATGAATTTGTTATTGGACTTCATGAACAAAGAAGAAACAGCGCCTAGTAATGAAATCCTTGTGGTATAAGATATTTGAGTATCTTATAATGATAATATTAAACTATAGTCAAATTTCTATAGGTCCTAATTAATCCTGATTAATTTAGAATTCTAAATGAAACCACCTTAAATAAAGGAAAAGAAAACTCCCCACACTATATATATGAAAGATTTTTGTATGCTATATTTCAGGTCAGTGGTATATTGGTATGTGAAGCAGGATGCATACTAGAAAATCTTATCTCTTTCCTGGACAACCAAGGGTAATTGCCTGCTATACTGTCAATGTCCTTTCTTTCTTAATGGACCTGTAATGATGTTTGACTCTAGATCCATACTCATACCCCTGTCACCTATATCTGTGGATATTGATATGTCTTCGCTCATGATATACGATGCTTTATTTCAGATTTATTATGCCTCTGGACTTAGGTGCAAAAGGAAGCTGTCAAATTGGTGGAAATGTTTCAACTAATGCTGGTGGTTTGCGTCTTGTACGTTATGGTTCACTTCACGGGAATGTACTTGGTAAGAAATCTGCTTGTTGATTGGACTTCGAATTTCAATGTTTGGACATTTATTTTCTTCAATTTCCCCCTTTTTGGCCCCTTAATTCCTGCAGTATAAACGTACAGAAGGTGGGTCTGCCAATCAGAAAGGAAAAATGAAAAAGAGCCTGCTTAGTTATGCATACATCTGCTAATAGGAAAATATTACGGTGTTGCATTATCATCCAGCGAGTTATATAAG